GTGTTCCACTGGTCTTAGAGAAGCTCCTCCAGCACACCAAAACTGGATTATTTCTAGTCCAAATCTCTCCTTGTCTCTCATTCCAAAATTCAAGAGGATAAAGGGATACCTCCAAAATATTGCTGCAGCAGCATTCCAATCCCCAACATCCACACAATTTAGAACAAATAAGCAGAGCCTTTGCACTGAACTTTCTGCCTGGGACGGTCTCTCCTGGATACCCCTAAGAGTCTCTCACTTCTTCAGGTCTTTGCTCAGTTACCTCCTTAACAAGACCTATTCCTACAAAATTGCAATTTGCCATTAATCAGTGTCCCTTACTATCCTTTAAAGAAATTTTTTTAACGTTTATTTATTCTTGAGAGAGGGTGAGAGAGAGAGAGAGAGACAGAGACAGAGTGTGAGTGGGAGGAGCAGAGAGAGAGAGAGAGAGGGAGACACAGAATCCAAAGCAGGCTCCAGGCTGTGAGCTGTCAGCACAGACGTGGGCTGGAACTCAGGAACCATGAGATCATGACCTGAGCCGAAGTTGTATGCTTAACTGATTGAGCCACCCAGGCACCCTAAAACCATTCTTTAAAAAAATAACATATCATCTTCTGGTAGATAATATATTACTTATTATGTTTACTATTTATATAATTCCTCCATAACAATGTAAACTTGAAGGCAGGAATCTTTGTGTGTTTTTTTGAATGTTTATTTATTTATTTTGAGAGAGATTGAGAGAGTGAGAGAGGGGTGGAGAGAGGGAGAGAGAGAATCCCAAGCAGGTCCTCCACTGTGAGTGCAGAGCCCAATGCGGGGCTCAATGCCGAGAACCGTGAGCTCATGACCTGAGCCAAAATCAAGAGTCAGTCGCTTAACTGACTCAGCCACCCAGACACCCAGGAATCTGTTTTTAATTGACGTATCTCAAATGTCTAGAACAGTGTTTGAGGATGAATGAATGAATAATAGTGAGTGAATGAATGAATGAATGAATGAATAAATCTAGTACCAAATGATAAATATTGAGCTAGTCTCCCAACTAAGTCCCACTTCTCTTATGTATATTAACTACCCACAATTTTTCCTGTCAACATTCTGAATTATCTTAACTTTTTTGTCTAATTTAATAGATGAAAAGTGGCATCTCATTGTTTTAATATTTATTCCTTTAAGTAATAATATAGTTGGATTTTTTCTAAGTTTATTTACTAACTACTTAAAATTCATCTTTTATGAACTGAGACAATGCCATTTATTGGAATGCTTACATTCCATCTATTATGTGTATTCTGTAATAACATTAGTTTTTGTTTGTTGAGTACTGTGGGGCTATGTTCTTAACTACTGTACTATGCTAAGTATCATTCTCTAGCTAAAATTCTATACAGCTACATATCAATAATATGCAATTATACTAGCATATATACCATACATAGATAATACAGCTGACATTTCTTGAGGATTTACTCTAAGGATCATAACAATTTTGCAAGGTAGGTATTGTTACTACCTTCATTATATTGATGAGGAAATTAAGGGTCAGAGAAGTTAAGTAACTTGTCCAAGGTCACACAGCTGGTAACTCAGTTTGAATTCATCATTGGTGCTCTGATTCATTAGTAGTAACAGCTACGTTATATGTTCTCTTTGGTATATGATGTCTTGTGTTATATATTTAAATACATAGATCTAGAGCTGAGTTGACTTTTAGTAGATATTTTAATGACAGAACCTAAAAATTATCCTTAAGCCTATTAAGTCTAGTATAATACATTGCTGATTTTCTAGAAGAGAATTTTTTTGGCCCTTTTTTCTTAACAGCCATATGTCTACAATCATCACATCACTTTTAAAATCGAATCCTACTAGTAGTCTTGATTTTTAACTAGTTATTATTGGCCTTTTGGTAGTGTTAATATAATATTTATTTTACTAGGGAGCTGGACGGGAATTATTGCTGCTTAAAATCAAGAATACATGTGCTCTTGAATTTGAGGAATTTAAAAATTATGTTTTGGTAGCATTCAGATTACATTTCCGGAATATATTCTTCATCAGCTTGGTCATTTTAACGAAGTATAGCATTTCAGTTTTGCCTGTAGTATCAAATATACTATTCTTGTTTTGTTTGAGAAATTTGGCTAGGTAGGTTGTTTTTATGTGTTTTAGTTGCTAAAATAAAAGAACAGCTTTTCCTCAGAGTTTTCTGTAGGGTCTTCACTGTATTGACTTTGAATGATTATGTTTCTTATTACATCATTTATGAATCTGAAGGTATACAATACTGAAGGAAACTGATTTAAAAAAAAATGTTATTTCTTTCTGTCCCTTTCAGGGACACTGGATGGATGTTTTACTAATATGGTCTTAAAAACAAAACAAAAAAAAAGAATTCTGATGAGCAGAATATCATGCAAAATTCTCCTCTGTAAGCTATCAATATCATTTAAAAAATAGTTTTGACCGTTTTTGTAAAACAGAAAAGCTATTAAAAACTGCTAATAAAAAATAGGTGCTTATTTTTGTGCTAATACTAATTACTGATAATGCATGCTTATGTTTGTCACTCATTACATGGCACTGTACCAATCAGTGGGTGACTGAGACTCGAGCACTTACATATGTAAATTAACCATTAGATTTTCTTTTTTTCCTTTTTTACTTAAGTGAGTCATAATGGAAAGCAACTCTAGGTCATAAAAAATCTTTTCTCTTTAATGCTAATGAAATGTCTCCCCTCTCTGTATTAGCAGACTACCCTTATTGGTAATCTGTAGCCTTCTCTTTTGTTCCTGGTGGTAATGAAATGCTGGGTGCTAAAAAAGCCCGCTCTCCAAGAATGTGTGGCCAATTGTCTTCTGTTCACTTATACTGTAAAATTACTGTTCCCCAGCAAAGCTGAACAAGTGCGGGGACAAGATCAAAAGAGTATACATTGGCACCCGGCTACACCAAGTGACTCCTGCTTTATTAATTAGCCATAGCTTCTCCAAGTTAATTTACTCTGATAGAGCAAAAACATTTCGTAATACAAAAACAACAAATGATAATTCAACCACGAGTCTTTAATAGTTTGCTTTCTTCAACTTCCAATTTAAATCTTTGCAGTATGTTATAAGCTAAATGTCTCTTCACTTTTCTGAACCTTAGCGCACAAAAGCTGTTTTTAATTTTTTTCAACAACATTAGTGAGATAGTCGAAGGACAATTTTTATTTTCTAAAATTGGTAACTTTTAATTGATATCATTCTTTTTAAAAGTCAGTGTATTGGGAATCTAGTTTAAAAGTGCACTTGCTTCTGAAATTTGCAAGCTTGTTTGTTCTCTCATCAGAAATGCCACTGGTGTTTAAGCATTTGAAAGGGGCCTTCTCTGTGAGTATTTTTGCGGAAGCAAAATTTGACAGTGAACCTAAGCTCCAAATTTAATAATATTAGTTTCTTCTTAAATAATTAAATACTACTTTTCATTTTAGTCACCACTTTGTAAGTTCCTGAAGTCTTTTTAATTTAAGGAGTCTCCAGTAGTTTTTTAGCTAATGTTTTAAAGTTAGAGCTTGAGACAGCAAAAAAAGATCTGTGGGCACAGCCCCATTTTCTGGTTTGTTTTTGTTTTTGTTCAGGTGGGAAGGAAATAATGTAACGTTTGTGTAAGATAATCACCTGAAAAGAGAAAAGAGATGGAGCCCTGTGTAGCCCAGGTGGTTGTTGTCAGTTAGTTGGTAACTTTCAGTATTTTGATCTAATTTGAAAGAATTCCCCCAGTTTCTATGCTCTAACATGGTTTAAAAAAAAGAATGTGATATTTATTGTGTGATTTATTTTGTGAATATAAAACAAATTTTATTATCTAAAATGCCATTAAAGAAAGATCAAAATAGCTTTACTTAAGAAGTATCTAAAACCCATTTTATTATATTTATAAGGGAAGGTAACAATGATTAATATCTACCTTCACTGTACATTTGTTTTTGAACTCAACTGCCTTCCCTCCTTAATTTCTGTATTTCTTTGTGATTTTAAAAAGCTTTTTAAAAAGTTATTAAGCTTACTTGTTAATTGTGGATTTTAAAAAATAATTTTAGAAAAGGTAGCTCTATGTATCTCTAACTTAGGTGGAACAGTTTTATCTATATTATGCATTTCTGCTTTTGTCAGAAGGAATTTTTTAAAGCCCTGTATTAACCATTCTTGTAAGGTTTTTATTTTTTTCCTTTTTAATAGAAGGAATATTTGTGTTTGCGAAGGTTAGCAGAGGCTGGCTGTGCTGGAAGTGACTGCAGTGCCTTTTGATTATTCATGGACAGTAATAGAAGGCACTTAAAAAGAACAATGAAATTGCTTATTTTTGTGATGGGCCATCTGTTGAATTGTTTTGTGCAACAATTGCACAATAGTATCTATGTCATATCATTCTATTTTCAACAGCAGCTGATTATGTCTCACTGGCTATTTGTCCTTATTTCTAAAGTCCCATGACCATTTAAAGTCACCTTTTCAGGGACCTTTGCCAGAAAGGTAGTAGAAATCTCAATCAGCTGTTTATTATTCCTTTTTTTCTTTTTTCTTTCTCTCTTTCTTCTTTTTTTTTTTTTTTTTTTTTTTTTTTTTTTTTTTTTTGGTGGGAAGGGGGCGGTGGATGGGGTCTGTGATGGGAGCAGGAGGAGGGATTTGGTCATGTTAGCTCTAATTAATTAGACTTCCTAAATGTTTAGGACAATTATCTATGCTTTCCACCTGTAGTTTATAAAAGAAGTTAACACAGAACCATTTGATGATTTGGGTAGAAATGATAGGCTTGCAAAAAAGAGTCAAGTTTAAAAGACTACTATACACTCTTTTATGGTTTTAATTATCTGCTCTTTTCTTCATGGTGATAATTAGAATTTTTCTCTTGGAATTCACTTCCATCCTTAAAAAAAAAAAAAAAAAAAAAAGAAGATGAACCATTAGCAAATTTGTTAGAGCAGAAGTGAGTATAAAATAAAACAAATGTGTTGTTGTCCATAGGTCACTGACATTGCTGATGCCATGATTCTGAAACAGCTTTTTGAAAATCTGTTCAAAAATGGGGTCGTCGTTGTGGCAACATCCAACAGGCCACCGGAAGGTAAAAACAAACATTGTGCTAGTCTCATCCAATTAGGTGGAAAATAACAAGCTTTGAAAAATCCATAATTTTATACTCATTTTATTGTGTTAATAGAATCTGATGACTTTGCTTATCATTCATTTTATGACAGACAATCTAAAAAATCAGTTGGTATTTGTGTCTGAAAAATGGTTATATTCTTCGCAAGTTAAACCCATGTCATCCCCTGTGTTTGATGCACTTGCTGTTTTTCTCTGAGTATTAGATATATCATATATTTGTATCAAAAAATGATGCCGGGAGGTGCCTGGGTGGGTCAGTCAGTTAAGCATCCCATGCTTAGACCCTTGATTTTGGCTCAGGTCATGATCTCACAGTTTTGAGCCCCATGTCGGGCACAAGCCCCCATGTGGAACCTGCTTGCGATTCTCTCTCTCCCTCTTTTTGTGCACTCTCTATCTCTTTCTCTCAAAAATAAATAAATAAACATTAAGGAAAAAAAATGATGCCTGCAGGAAGGCTAGGTTTGAGGACCCAGAGGGGGCCTTGCAGGACCAGCCAAGAGGATCCTTGACTTTACGCAGGGTAGAAATCAAATACAAAACACCAGAAAGTGAGAACAGGGTTTACTGAAGATACAGAGGGAGCAGATGCAGATGGAGCATCTGGGAGACTTGGGAAGGAAAGGAGCATGAGTCTTGTCTTGGTTCAGGGCTTGGGGGTTTAATTAAGGATTGTGGTCTGCTGTATGTGTCCTTTCAGGCATCCAAGAACTGGTTAGAACAAAGATAAGGGCCCAGGTGTTAGTACTTGGAGCCAGCGGGCCTTGGCATTGAGATGTCTAGTGCTGGTGGTCTGGAATATTCATATGACAGCTTCATTGGTCATTCTCACCTGGTCCTTCCTTAGATGTAATCTCTACTGAAGAAATCATTAACTAACTCCCTGCCCCTTACAAGGAGGAATTACAGCTGTCTGCATTCTGTGGACTGTATAAAGTGGGGTGTGGGTCCTAGAAAGAACAGAAGCAGGAAAAGGAGCAAAAAGCAGATTTTTATGGAGTTCTTCAGTTTCTCTGTTTCAAAAATACAAGGCTTTCTAATTGCTTTTTAGGGGCTGTAAAAGAAGCTCAATGAAATGAAAGAGAAAACTCCTAATTGAGTCTTAGAAAAAGAATTGAATCTCGCTTGCATAAGTAGTTTCTAATACTTAATTTTATTCCTAAAAAACCACTTGTGGCTTATTTGAACATTATTTAAGGATTAAAATACAAGTAATATCTAGATAAAAACAAGTTTAAAATGTTTTATCTTTCCGTGATGTGGTCAGTTGAAGGCCAGAGGAACAAAAACCAATATTTAATGCCTTCTTTAAAAAAATATTTTTTTTAATGTTTATTTACTTTTGAGAGATAGAGACAGAGTGTGAGCAGGCAAGGGGCAGAGAGAGAGGGAGACACAGAATCTGAAGCAGGCTCCAGGCTCTGAGCTGTCAGCACAGAGCCCGATGTGGGGCTTGAACTCACGAACCACGAGATCATGACCTGAGCTGAAGTCAGAAGCTCAACTGACTGAGCCATCCAGGCGCCCCTAATGCATTCTTAATGTTAACATCTTTCTACCCTGGAATGCTCTACCACCTGGAATTCCCTGCATGGCTAATTCCTTACCTTTTTCAGGTCTTTACTCAAAAGTTATTTTGCCAAAGAACTGTAGACTTATCTTTCTATTTGAATCTACAACCCATCCCTTTTTTTCTTACCTTGCTTCTCCTTTCCTCCTTTATTTTCTTCCTTGTGGTTTATTGTCTGTCCTCTTCCAGGATGCAAAGCGTTCATGAAGGCAGTGACTTTTATCTCTTCTGTTCATGGGTATATACTGAACAACCAAAACAGTGCCTAGCTGATCTCAATAGTCTTAGAGTGAATGTTGAATGAATGCATGTTTTTAAAGGTTATCCCTGGCTGCAATACTGAGAATGGATTGTGGGGGTGAGATTTCAAAGTTGGAAGTAAGGAGACCGTTGATGATATCATTGCTGTAATCCTGAGGGGAGATAATGGAGCAGTGAGGGTGGTGAGAGTAGTCAGAGTTTGGATATATTTTGTAAGCAAAGCCAAGAGGATTTACTAATGGGATGAATATATGGTATTAAAAAAAGAGAAAGGGATAAAGAATGACTCAAAGGTTTTGGCTTGAGCAATTAAAAGGATGAAGTTGATGTTTCCTGAGATGGAGAGGACTATAGGAGAAGCAGATTTGGGTAGGGAGGGGAAAGTACTGAGGCAGATGCATATCAGAGTTTGGATTTTAATGGAAAAGTTTAGATTGGAGATGAAAGTTTGGGAGTTCATTGGTCCTAAAGGAAGCTGGTCAGAGCAGCCAGTGAGGTAAGAGGAGAACCAACAGAGTATCAAGTGAAGAAAAGGAAAATGGTACAAAAGGATGGATGGCCACTTTTGTTAAATGCTGCTAGGAGGTGAAGGGGAGGTTGAGAATTGACCATTGGAATTAGTAACATGGAGTTTATTGGTGGATCTGAAAAGAGCAATGTAATAGTGATAGTGTGAGTTTTTTCCTTAATAAGCCATGTCATGTGGATGACTTATATTGAGTTTATAATCTGTTGTTACCTAGATCTTACTTTGTGAGCTGCTGTCAAGCTAGGTGTCTCTCATTCTGTGTTTGTGTAGTTGATTTCTTTTTTCTTCCTATTACATTTCAGCTTATTAGTCTGTCTGCATTGTTCTATTTTATGATTTATGTTTGATTATATTTGATTTATGTTTGTATCTTTTTGAAGTGTGGTTCTAACAGATTAGTTTTAGCTATCCCTACTAACTATGACGTTTATAAAATGGTAATCGTGCTGCTATATCTTCAGCCATTCATTAATTAAAACGTAACCAAGTTTAGACCCTCATAGCATACCATTAGAGGCCTTATTTTAGGGAGACATCAGTTAATTAATACTATCAAATCCAGTTATTCAAACAACTGTAGTTATACCTCATCTATTATATTCTAAGAGAATTATGAATGATTCAGATGCACTTATTAAAATATCTATAATACTGTTATAGATAGCATTCTTTTTTTT